ATGCGCGTACTTTGCATAGCCGCATATCCTTTCCTTTTGGTGTGCAATTCGTATCCCACAAAGGTGTATTGCGGCTCTGCATTTCTACCATGTGTGCTTGCAGGTAGGTGCAGGAAGCCTCCTCTGACATCTGACAGAGCGAGTTGTATATTCGTCCCTGCTGAGGATCTGGTGAAGCGACTTGACGCGACTGCATGTGTTTGCAAAGAGTGTGTGTTGTTTCACGTTTTACACAGACAAACACGCATTGTGGTGAAATGCGGACGTATTTACATGATGCAGTAGAGATGACTCAATAACCATGCAGTATGAATGCATGCATGCTTTCTCAGTTGGCGATCCTTTTCCTGCCGCGTGGCTAAGAAGTTGGCTAAGAGATGCACTGACATGTGACTTTCCTGGGGTGTGGTGTTTCTTTAGGATCCTGCTGTTGTTCCTGGTTGCCAGCCATCAAGGGCCGGGGGCATGCTTTCCATGGACACAGTCACCTGCGCATTCATTTCGATAGGAGCCACACAAAACACATTCTCTCAAAGGGTATCCCTGTGCCAAAAGAGGGCTGCATTTTTGTCCAAAGCCGACAGCTGTTGCGATGCCCTTTGCTGCCTCGCACGAGCAACTGAGACTCGGCTTCCTTGGCACTGGCAAAGTCCTGCTGGCCTTGGGTCAAAAGCAGCTCCTTTTTCTCGAATGGACCATCCATGGAGCACCCCTTGAAATCAACCAGGCTGACTCGATGACTCCTGCGTCAGGTGCTGGCGGCTCGGGCGGAACAGCTGGACACGGAGGAGCTGCGCAGCTTCGGGCCCCAGCTGCTGGTGGCGGAGCTGCTGGGCTACACGGCGACACGGCCGCGTTGCGCGAACAGGCGACGAAGGGCTGGTCTCGAGCATAGGTGTCCTTTTTGGTTCTTTTGGTAGAAAAATAGATGGCCCTGGTTTACCTGGTGGTTTCATCATCTACCAGGGCCATCTATTTCCCCTAAAAGGACACCTACGGTCTCAAGCACATCTCAAGCTTGGATTTTTTGGCCTCCAGGAACGGTGTTTTTTTCTTTGGTGGTTTCCCATCGGCCAACCCATTCCCGCAAAATGTGACACAAGATCTTGTTGGTTGGGGTTTGTAGGGACGGTCAATAGGGTTTTGAGACGGGCGTGGAAAGGGCATGGGTTGGGGGTGGCCCCGGACCACTAACAGTGAGCACAAATAGGAGCACAAAAAAAAGCACCACAAAAAACAAGCAACTTTGCTCTTTTTTAAAATTAGGTACCCGTGCAGGTCTGAAACCTAAATTACTCGTTCTGCATCTTGGGGGATAGCTCCGGGACCTTGAAATAAAGTGATTCAAAGACTATTTGCACTATGACTTATTAGTCCAGATACAATGGGAAAGTTAAATTGGCAACATTACCTTTCCGTCCTTCCTTTCTGTTTGGCTTGGTCGCTGCTGCTTCCCACAACACCCCCTCCCAGTCAACCTCCCCCCAGCGTAAGCCAGAGCCTTCCGATTCACAGCCCGTCCCGGCCTTCTCTCAGCCTCCGCTCCCAACCTCCTCCCTGCCAACCAAGCTTCCCTCACCCATCCAGCCCCAAACCTCCTTCTTACCTGCGGCCCTCACCCAAACCCCCCACCTCTCACGCAAACATCCAGCCCACAGCAACCCCCTCCCCTCCGTCTGCCCTTCTCACCAACCTTCTGTCTGTGCTTTCTTCCTTCCTTGTTTCGTTCCAAGAGTGTCGCGGGGAGCACTAACGGTTTTTTTTGAGGGGGAGCACTAACGCACTAACGCGTTTTTTAATTTTTAAGGTGTCCCGGGGAGGCCTGGGGAGGGTCCTGGGGCAAGTAATTTGAATTTCGCGGTCTGAAGGGAAAGTAATTTTGAAAAACCGGCCCGCCGGCCAAGTTTTGCGGTGCCTTTTTTTTGCTCCAATTGGAGTTTTGCGGTGGTCCTTTGTGCTTTTTCTTGTGGGTTCCGTGGTGCTTTTTTTTGTGCTCCCGCTGGTGGTTTCCCGTGATGAAAAGTAGTAGCGGAGTCCGGGCGGGTGGTAATTGGGGTTTTGTGGCGGTCCCTTGTGCTTTTTCTTGTGGGTTCCGTGGTGCTTTTTTTTGTGCTCCCGCTGGTGGTTTCCTGTGATGACAAGTAGTAGCGGAGTCCGGGCGGGTGGTAATTGGGGTTTTGTGGTGGTCCCTTGTGCTTTTTCTTGTGGGTTCCGTGGTGCTTTTTTTTGTGCTCCCGCTGGTGGTTTCCCGTGATGAAAAGTAGTAGCGGAGTCCGGGCGGGTGGTAATTGGGGTTTTGTGGTGGTCCCTTGTGCTTTTTCTTGTGGGTTCCGTGGTGCTTTTTTTTGTGCTCCCGCTGGTGGTTTCCCGTGATGAAAAGTAGTAGCGGAGTCCGGGCGGGTGGTAATTGGGGTTTTGTGGTGTTTTTTTTTGTGCTCCCGATTGTGCATTTGTTTGTGCTTTTTCTTGTGGGTTTCGCGGTGCTTTTTTTTGTGCTCCCGCTGGTGGTTTCCCGTGATGAAAAGTAGTAGCGGGGTCCCTCTGGAGGGTAATTGGGGTTTTGCGGTGCTTTTTTTGGTGCTTTTTCTTGTGCTTTTTTTTGTGCTTTTTCTTGTGCTTTTTCTTGTGCTAGTTTTACGCTTTCCTCTGGAAAATCCGTCCGAAAATTTGCCGAAATTGGCCAGAAGCGCGGGAGCCGGCCGGAGTCAGCGCCAGCTCGGCCAGCTCGGCGCTGGCGCCAGCTGGGCCAGGGGCCAGCTGGCCTGGCCGGGCAGGGTGGGGGCTGCCAGCCAGCAGACTGGCCTGCAAACAGCTGTCTAGGCCGCAAGGGCAAAGGTGGCAGTGGCTCCCCTGGCCCTGAACCTCTTGGGCTCCTCCACCAGGCCCACAAACGGAAGAAGCTGAAAGACAAGACGCTCCAACGTGTTTCTGGGCGAAGCGGCCAGCTCCGCGCTGACTGCGCCACTTCCTGCCTGCTTTGGATTTCGCTCTTTGTCAGATCAAGATGTCAGAACTTGGTGTTAGCGTTAGCGACTTGCAGTCAACTTGCAGCGACGGCGGAAAAGTGGTAGTGATAGTTGCTGTCTAGGCCAATGTTTATTTGCGATATATGTTTATGCTATGTCTATGTCTCTGTCTATGTTTACGACTCCTGAACCAGCTTTAAACTTTTCCTAGGTCTCCTAAATCCGAATGCACCTACAGTCCAGTGACAACCCCAAAAGCGCAGCACTAGAAACCAGTAGGGATAGAACCGTATTTGGGCCTGGGCATGAAAAGACACCACTCTACTCTCCACTGCATCATCATACAGACCAAACAAATACGCAACCTAAAATTGGTGGGGCGTGCTTACCGGTCATTTTTGCTGAGGTACTATGTATAAATGGCTTTATTTAACTGTTAGTGCTCGGGGGCACCCCCCAAGGCATGGGTTTGTCTCAAGGGGAACTTCAAAAAAGACATCCCCTGAAAGGTACCCTATGAATTTCGTTGGTGCCTTCGGAGATCATTGACTTGGTGCGCGATGTGCACCAGCCATGTTTTGCGGTTTCCTATAAACACTTACGGCCATATAGGGACTCTGAGGGCTGTGGGCAAACCGTTTAGATCAGCCATTGGGATTTCCGTCCCCACTCTTGCCATCTAAACGCTCCACCCAAAACCATCTAAAACTTCTTGTGTGACACCTTTGGTTGAACCGGCCTTTGCGCAATTTTCACTTAATTCAAAGAGGGGCTTCCGGAAGAAAAAAGGGGGAACAAAAAAAACAACGCCGCAAATCCAGCCCGCATGAGAATCCGAAGTCTTGTGAGTTGGGCACGTTGCAGATGTGAAGGGGTGGTTGGGCAGTTTGCTGGCTTCCAGTTTATGAAAAAGGCCACTGTGTGGGGAGCCATAATGGCTGTTTGGAAGGGTCTGTAGTTCTGCGCACCGCCGAGAATAGCAAACTCTGAGCAAGCTTATATTTTCGATTTACCACAATGAGTTCACCATGGCTGACAAGCGTGGCAAGCTGTCTGCATAGCACCCCTGCTTTGCCGACGCATGGGCCTTCCCAGGCCAGTGAAGAAGGTGCGCCCGCTCCTTTGGCTGCACGAGTGAGTGTGTGTGTGTGTGTGTGAATTGTGAGCTTGTGGGTCTCATCATACTGTGGATGGACGAAATCCTGCACCACCTGAGAAACCCGGAAATCCTTGATTCCCTTGTAAATACCAACCAACAACGGTTTCCTATGGTTTCAAAGTGGTGCAGGATTTCGTCCATCTACAGTAGTGGTTTTGGGGGCGTTCAACCCTTAATTGGCCAGTGAGAGCACTTAGACATTCAAGTCGCTGACGCACACACTTCATCATGGACTCCGCTTGCCATGCCGGGCATCACGCGGGATTTATGCCTTTGACAGGTAAGGGCTACGTCGCAGAGACAAATCTTAAAAACCCAATCAATACCTCAAGGCAGATGCTGTTACCTTTGAGTATGCGAAACTGAAAACGGGCGCTTGTGCCCTTTGGTAACAAGCTGCTACCCCACCTGTCCCGCTTGGGGACTCTTGGAGAGCAAGGTGGTTGCAAGCCACAAGGGTGGTCCCTTTGCGACCCTTTGGTTTGGATCCCGACCAAACCCGACTCAGTACGATAAAGCAAAAGCATTAAACCTAACAGCAGACATTTGGAGAGATCCCCAAACCTGCGGTGGCACATACCCAAATGGCCAGAAGCAT